TTAGATTGCAAAATCGTGAATTAAAAAACACAATAGCTAAAGAAAACAAGAATAGTTCAAGTTAGTTGATGTGTATATATAAACATATTATTTTTGGACCTGTGATTTTCAAGTTCATGTGCAAAATAAATTTATTTTTCTGAATTTGCAGAGAGAAAGCATCGATATGGCAAACCAATCAACCCAGGAGGTTATTGAAGAACTGAAGAAGCTTCTCAGGTTTAATTTTATAAATCCATGCATTAATATGTCTAATGCCATTTAGCTAGATGCATGTTATCTTCATGTACAAACACATATATTGCCATATCCAGGGTTGCCTTTGTAGTTAATTTCATGTCCTAATATTCTGCCAAATAGTGTCTGCTTTCATGTTAGGACTTAAAAATATGCATAAGATGATGAGGGTGTTGCTTGCAGTGAAAAAGGAGACCTAGGCTGTGAGGTTCAGGGGAAAATTGAAAGGCTGATTGCTGAGTTGAAATGGCCAGGGCCAGTAGGCCCTCATTTTGTTGATCCAGTAGTTAAGAGGATTTTCGATGGTTTCAACCGCTTCAAGACCTGTAACTTTGAGTAAGACAGAGCAATTCAGATTACCGTCAATTATTGTGGTTCAATTTATTATTAATTGACGAGACTAAACGATCTTATTCTTTGCAGCAAGAATCCAGAACTTTTTGCAGAACTGGCAAAAGGACAGCACCCCAAGGTACAAACTTACAAGTTATTACCACCTTCAATTACATTGTTTTTCAACCTGAATATTCACCTTCAAACTCAATGATTCATCAGTTTCTGGTATTTGCCTGCTCGGACTCTCGGGTGAGCCCCTCTCATATCCTGGATTTCCAACCTGGGGAAGCCTTCATGGCCCGCAATATTGCCAACATGGTCCCTGCATTTGACAAGGTTCCTAAACTCAATTGATGAGTATTTCATGTTCTTTTCAATTTGGTACCAACAAAAGCTGCCTCAACGAGTTAGTTACCATTAACTTAAAATCCTTGATTTGCGTAAAAATCAAAAATTCAAACTTTTGTGATGTCAAATAACTAACTCCTGGATCAAATTTACCAAAAAAAGAAATGCTCTTTTCAATTTGGTTATGATGCATAATATAGCTAAAGACTGTTATTTTGTCTGTGACACAGGTTAGATACTCTGGAGTCGGTGCTATCATTGAATATGCTGTTGGTAGTCTTGAGGTGAATTTACATTCATGTTGAGATGTTAGAACATTGTTTACATCAAAAAGAAAAATTTACGCAAAATTATAAAAATTGCAGGTAAGAAACATCCTGGTTATTGGACATAGCAAGTGTGGTGGGATACGAAGGCTCATGACTCACCCAGAGGATGGTTCTAATGAATTGTAAGGCTTTTTAGTTATTTAGTCCTAAATTTAGAAACCAGCACCAAAAGGATTTTCTAATTTCACCTCATTCAATTGATATTTTGCAGTGACTTCATTGATGATTGGGTCAGAATTGGTTTATCAGCAAAGAAAAAGGTCCTGAGTGAGAACCCAAACCTGTCACTAGACGAACAATGCGAACTGTGTGAAAAGGCAAGCCCCCTAGCTTCAACTCTCCATCATTCGCAAGCATGGCTTCATTGTTCATACTAGATAATGCTAAGACACGAAATTCATGTGTTCAAATGTAATGCAGGAATCGGTGAGGAACTCGGCGAGGAACCTATGGAGTTATCCATATGTGAAGAAGGCAGTGCTGGATGGAAATCTGAAATTGTGGGGAGGTTATTATGACTTTGTCCATGGGAAGTTTGAGATTCTGGAGGATGCACAAGCCCTTCCTGTTGTACCGTTCTGATTCTCAAGATGAGAATTGAAGAATAAGCATTACTATTGTGTTTACTTCCTTCTTCTTGTTCAGGAATAAAACAGAGCTGCTAAGTTCTGAGCTTGCTATTTTATGACTTTTTTTCCTTTTTGGTCAAGAATAAGTTGTATAACATGAAATGTTTAGGTCCATGACTCTATGTTGGATCATTAATGATGAAATGTGAAATATGTGGGATGATATTATGAGCAATCCTTTCTTGCCAAATTTCCAGTTGATCTATTGTATATTGAAAAATTTTTAGAACTTAAAAGAACAATATTTAAAATTTTTTAAACTGGAGGGGTCCATGGCTGTCATGGCGTTTTTCATTTTTCTTCTTGTTAGATATAATGTCTATCAAATCGGTTCCCAAGAATCTTCATACTAATCATTTCTTAAACAACTTTAAGAACTTACATTTAATAAAAATAAAAATTTTAAAGAACCAATTTTAAAACTTAAATCTCAAAATTAAGGTATAAAATGACACTTACTAACAAATCTATCCTTTAAGGTTAAGCTGCCCTTCTTAACATCCGCTCATGTTACCTTTTACAAGAACAATATTACCCCTCTTGGCTGGGCCACATAATCATATTAGTAATTAGACTTCAGTTCATTTTTTTTGTAGTACGGTGCCATTAAATGAAGGGGTTTTGCTCTTGTAATTATGGGAACTTATTGATCTAATAATTAGTATTTCATAATTTGATACATTTTAAGATCAGTATGAATAATTTATGTATTTTTTATTTTATTTGAGCTATTCACCAATAACATATTGAGCTCAAGATGAAGCTCACATAGTTATAACCCTAATTTTAATGAGTTCCAATCATTGTGGACAAAAATTTTGTGGCTTGAAAGTTGTAATAATTTGTTAGAGATATATATTTAAGTGAGTAAACACTAAAATATTCCTTAAGATTTCTTTGTAAGGGGAATAAATCTTTCCTCATACAAACAGCCTAAAAGATAATCCCTTTGACTTAACAAACAAACTTTCAAAGTCTATGACAATAATTTAACACCATATTCTAAAGGGTCCAATAATTGATCAAATATTGAAAAG